ATGGCAAATAAACAACCTAATGCTTCACCTTATACATCTAGAAAAATAAGAACAATCCAAACCCAAAGTTATAGATGGAAAGAAATAATTAAGATCAGAGCAGAACTAAACAAAATAGAAAACCAAAAAGTAATACAAATGATCAATGAAACAAAAAGTTGGTTTATTGAAAAGATAAATAAAATTCACAAACCTTTAGCAAGGATAACTAAGAAAAAAAGAGAGAAGACCCAAATAACAAAAATTAGAAATAAAACAGGTGAAATTACAACTGACACCTCAGAAATACAAGAAATCACTGGAGACTAAACAGCTATATGCCAACAAATTTGAAAATATGGAGGTAATGGACAAATTTGTGGACACACACCAAAAGTGAGCCAAAATGATATAGAAAATCTGAACAGACCAATAACAATAAAAGAGATTGAAGCTGTTATCAGAAGGCTCCCAACAAAGAAAAGCCCCGGACGGGACTGATTCACTGCAGAGTTCTGCCAAACCTTCAGAGATGTATTGATACCAATTCTCTACAAACTCTTCCAAAAGATTGAAACAGAGGCTATTCTCAAAAAGTCATCCTATGAGGCAAACATTACCCTGATACCAAAACCAGACAAAGATACATGAAAAATAGAAACTATAGGAGGACTGATTCACTGCAGAGTTCTGCCAAACCTTCAGAGATGTATTGATACCAATTCTCTACAAACTCTTCCAAACGATTGAAACAGAGGCTATTCTCCAAAAGTCATCCTAGGAGGCAAACATTACCCTGATACCAAAACCAGACAAAGATACATGAAAAATAGAAACTATAGGCCAATATCCTTGATGAATATAGATGTAAAAATCTTCAACAAAATACTAGCTAACAGAATACAGCAACACATACACAAAATTATACACCATGATTAAGTGAGATTCATCCCAGGGATCCAAGGTTGGTTCAACATACGCAAATCAATAAGTGTGATATGCCACATCAAGAAAAAAAAAGACAAAAACCATATGGTCATCTCTATAGACACTGAAAAAGCATTTGACAAAATTCAACATTCGTTCATGATAAAAACTATTTACAAGTTAGGTATAGATGGAAAGTATCTCAACAGAATTAAAGCCATATATGATAAGCCCACTGCCAATATCATCCTGAGCCTTAAGAACCTTAAGAACGGGAACTAGACAAGGATGCCCACTCTCACCACTCCTATTAAACACAGTGTTGGAAATACTAGCCAGAGCAATCAGAGAAGAGAAGGAAATAAAGGGCATCCAGACTGGAAAAGATGAAGTCAAACTGTCCCTGTTTGCGGATGATATGATCCTATATATTGAACAGCCTAAAGCCTCTATGAAAAAACTCCTAGAGTGGATAAATGATTTCAGTAAAGTTTCAGGATACAAAATCAACACACAAAAATCAGTAGCATTTCTATATTCCAACAGTGAACATGCAGAAAAAGAAAGGAAGAAAGTTAGCCCATTTACAATAGCCACCAAAAAAATAAAATACTTAGGAAGAAAGTTAACCAAGGATGTGAAAAATCTCTACAAAGAGAACTACAAAGCACTGTTGAGAGAAATTAGAGAGGACACAAGAAGATGGAATGATATCCCATGCTCTTGGATTGAGAGGCTTAACGTTGTGAAACTGTCCATATTACCCAACGTGATCTACAGATTCAATGCAATCCTCATCAAAATTCCAATGACATTCTTCTCAGAAATGGAAAAAACTATCCAAACATTTATATGGAATAACAAAAGACCACGCATAGCCAAAGCAATCCTGAGCAAAAAAATAAAGCTGGAGGTGTAACACTGCCTGAATTTAAACTATCTTATAAAGCTATAATAATGAAAACAGCATGGTACTGGCATACAAACAGACACACGGATCAATGGAATAGAATAGGGAACCCAGAAATCAACCCATACACCTACAACCATCTGATCCAAAGGCAGCAAGTCCACACACTGGGGAAGAGACTGCCTCTTCAACAAATGGTGCTGGGAAAACTGTATATTCATATGTAGGAGAATGAAACTGGACCCAAACCTCTCACCATATACCAAAATCAACTCAAAATGGATTAAAGAATTAAATATACATCCTGAAGCAATAAAACTCCTTAAAGAAAACATAGGGGAAACACTCCAGGAAGTAGGAGTGGGTACAGACTTCATGAATAGGACCCCAAAAGCACAGGCAACTAAAGATAAAATAAACAAATGGGATTATATCAAACTAAAAGGCTTCTGCACAGCAGAAGAAACAATCAACAGAGTGAAAAGACAACCAGCAGAGTGGGAGAAAATATTTGCAAAATATACAACAGACAAAGGATTAATATCCAGAATATACAAGGAACTCAAACAACTTTACAGCAAAAAAACAAATAACCCAATTAAAAAATGGGCAAAGGAGCTGAATAGGCATTTCTCAAAGGAAGATGTACGAATGGCCAACAGACACATGAAAAAATGCTGAACATCACTCAGCATCCGGGAAATGCAAATCAAGACCACTTTAAGATACCGTCTCACTCCAGTCATGATAGCTAATATCCAAAAGACTGAGAAGGATAAGTGCTGGAGAGGTTGTGGAGAAAAAGGAACTCTCATACATTGTTGGTGGAGCTGCAAAATGGTGCAACCTTTATGGAAAATGGTATTTCCTCAAACAATTACAGATAGATCTACCATATTACCCAGCTATTCCACTGCTGGGAATATACCCAGAGGAATGGAAATCATCATGCCAACGGGATACCTGTACTCCAATGTTTGTTGCAGCACTGTTTACAACAGCCAAGAGGAGGAACCAGCCCAAATTTCCATCATCAGATTAGTGGATAAGGAAACAGTAGTATATCTGCACAATGGAACACTACTCTGCCATAAAGAAAAATGAAATACTACCATTTGCAACAACATGGATGTGAAACAAGACAGGCACAGAAAGCAAAATACCTCATGTTCTCACTTATTTGTGGGAGCTAATAATAAATAAATAAGCACACAAACAAGGTGGGGAAGAAGACACAACAATTCCTTGAGCTTTTTAAGACAAGTGAACAGATATTATGTAGCGGGGAAGGGGAGTGAGGGAAGGAGGAAGAAGAATGGGTAAGGGGTCATGAAAATTGACCATAATGTATATTGAGAAGTTAAAATAGAAAAAAAACAATGTTGATTCTGTCAATCCATAAGCATGAAATGTTTTTCCATTTTTTTGTGTCCTCTTTTATTTCTTTCACCAGTGTTTTGTAGTTTTCATTGTAGAGATCTTTCACCTTCTTGGTTAAATTTATTCTTAGGTATTTTATTATTTTAGTAGCTATTATAAAAAGGTTTGCTTTCTTGATTTCTTTTTCTGCTGGTTGGTGTTGCTGTATAGAAATACTACTGATTGATTTTTTTTTTTTTTTTTTTTTTTTTTTTTTTTTTTTTTTTTTGTCTTTTGTCTTTTTCAGTGTCCGGCAGCTGATCGCAACCCTCAGTGTTGCCCCCATACCGGACCGGGGACCGGCATCGGGATCGCAACCCTCGGCGTTGCTCCCGTGCCTCGCTCAGCCAGTGAGCGGGAACCGGTCTGTATGTGGGATCCGAACCCTCGGGCGGGAGCGCCGCCGCGCTTCCCAAGCGGCGCACTATCCAGTGCGCCACCGAGCCGGCCCTACTGATTGATTTTATATCTTGCAACTTTACTGGATTTATTTTATCAGTTCCAAGAGTTTTTTTGGTGGAGTCTTTAGGTTTTTCCTCTATATAAGATCATGTCTTCTGCAAAAAGGGACAATTTGACTCCCTCTTTTCCAGTGCCCTTTGTTCTTTTCTCTTGCGTGATTGCTCTGGCTAGAACTTCCAGTACTATGCTAAATGGGAGTGGCAAGAGTAGGCATCCTGGTCTTGTTCCTGTTCTTGGAGGAAAAGCTTTCAACTTTTCCCTGTTCAGGATGATGTTAGCTGTGGGTTTGTCATATATGGCTTTTATTGTGTTGAGATACTTTCCTTCTACACCTGTTTTGTTGAAGAGTTTTTGCTACGAAGGGATGTTGAATTTTATCAAAAGATTTTTCTACGTTTATTGAGATGATCATATGGTGTTTGTCCTCCATTTTGTTGATGTGGTGTATAATATTTGTCAGTTTGATAGATGAAAATATCTCTATTTTTAACATTTAATTTGTTTAAATATTAGCGAATTAGAACATAAATATTTAGTTGCCATTTACTTTTTGTTGCATTAATTATATGCCTGTATTCAATATGCATTTTTCTAGTAAGAAGTTGATATTTTATGAATATGTGTATTAGAAAAGTTGTGTTTCACATCTTTGCTCCTTGGAACCCCACTTTTATCAAAATGCAGTATCCTACTAATTAGTACAAATATTTATAAAATTTTACTTCTTCTAAAATAATCTAGTTTATGTTCTGCTGTGATTTCAGTTTTTTAACTAAATGACACACATCTTTGTGAAGCAGTCCATGTTTGTTTGTCTCTGTGCCTCGCCTCTCATTTTGTGCAGGTCCTTGCTCAAATGTCACCTTCATGAGGCCCACCATGATGGTGCTACTTAAAATGACAGCTCCTCCCAGCTGTGGCCTCGTTTCACATTCTGCACTCCCTGGCTCCTGTCCCTGCTCCATTTTCTTGCCCAGTGCACTTTACCACTTTCAGAGAGACTATGTAATTTATTTATTTATTTGCTATGTCTATTTATTATCTGTGTCTCATTACTAAAGTCATTAGAGGGGAGAAATTGCTCACTGTTGTTTCTGAAGCACCCAGAACAGTACCTGGCATATAGTAGACACTTGATAAATCTTTGTTGGATAAATGAATAAATATTAATTGACTTATTTACTAAGTTAGAAGTTTTTTTTTCCCAAATTAATAATAATAGCTTTAATATACTTTATTTTATGTTTATTAATTTTAAAATACATAAAGTGAAAATGTCATTTTTTTGTTTGTGTTTTCATAGCTGATTTTTCACACATTGCAGTTGTTAGCATTTACTGCCCTTGCTGTTTTAATTATGAGGCTGAAGCTATTTTTGACACCCCACATGTGTGTTATGGCTTCCTTGATATGCTCTAGACGGGTAAGGTGTTCATTCTTATATGGCTACACTATAATAACTATAGCAGCTACAGTGTAGTTACCATGGCTTTGCTGAGCAATCTAAGACATAAAAATATCAGGTGTTTATAAGTTAATTAATTTAAATATTTGAAATATTAGTTCGTGATTCACTATAGAGTAAGAAAAGCAACTTCAAATAGCTTTGAAAATGATTCCTGGATTTTAACTGCTATTTCTATGACAAGCACTGTCCTGTCCATAAATGTGTCTTTGGGAGTTCAGGTCCATGCAAGGGTTCCTGCTCTCCAGAACTACCCCAAAGTACTCATTCAGTATTAGAGTAGATGCAGAGTAATCTCTCTGGTATAGTTCTGTTTGGCTCAAAGAATCCCTAAGAAAAATTGTCAGTTTGGTTTTCCATTACCATATTTAATATTACAAAATAGCTAGATTAATTAGCTAGAATTTTGGGATTAAGATACTTTAGAAACACTTTAGTTTTGATTATAAATGTACTGTCAGAATATCATAATGCCTGTTTTCCAGAGAGGAATAAACACATCAGTGCTAATAGGGTTTCCCTAGTTATTCATGATGTCCATAAAAGGCAGCCAAATGTTAAAGGATTTAGTTCTAGGATGTTTCAGAATTGTGATTCACTAATCTTAAACCCTGGTAGTAAATCAGTACTGGAAGAATCGGTTATTCCTTCCTTAATTCTTTCGAGAAGAGAGAAAGCTCCATTTTTAACTGGGCCCTGCAATTCCAGCATATGTGTTGTTTTTAAGCAATAGGTCATGATAATTCTGTATATTTATGTACTGATATCAAAGGATAATACACCTTCATTTAAGTAGTAAGGTGATAATTTATTATTGACTCTATAGCACTCTTCGTATACTCTTCGTATAAGGATTATAAATAAATGGTTTCTTTTATTTCAGCTCTTTGGCTGGCTTTTTTGCAGAGTTCGATTCGAGAATGTTATCTTTGGCATTCTAACAGTGATGTCACTACAAGGTTTTGCAAACCTCCATAATCAATGGAGCATAATAGGAGAATTTAATAATTTGCCCCAGGAAGAACTTATACAATGGATTAAATACAATACCAGACCAGGTATGTAGCTGTTTAGTAATATGTATAGTTAGTTTTGCACACACACACAGTCACAAATACACATTTATATATATATATATATATATATATATATAATATGTATGTATATATAATATACTTATCAATTTATATATGTGTATGTGTGTACACATATGATTTACAAATACACACATACAGTCATTCATACCCTCACAGAGTTTTAGCATGCTAATTACAGTAACCACTCAATCAAACCCCTTTTTTTTTTTCCTTTTTGTCTTTTTTCAATCAAACCCTTTTAAAAGGCAATTTTGTACTCTCTTTAAACTCCTAGATAGCTGTCAAAAGAATTTTAATGTGGCTAATGATTATTCACAAGTTATGTGTTATAACTCTCAGACAGCATTATTGTATCTTAACCATAACAGTGGCAAATCACAGAAATAAATCTTTAATAACACGTTTCACACTTTGTTATGGGCCACTGCAGAAGATACTTTTGATAGTGAGGAGTTTCCTGGCACCCTTTCTATCACTTCCGTCCCTGCTAACTATCTCCTCTAACTCTCTAAAACCAGTTACGTGCAGAAAAGTTAAAATCTTGGCTATTATATTTTTTTCACTAAATCATCTCACAGAGAAGAGTTATATAACCCACTTTTAAGTATTCCCAAATATTCTTTATAACTTACCTTGTTTTCTTTGTATCTTTATTCAAAACTACCTCAAGCAGATAGATATTTTATTTTTAAATAACTTTCCAGAGAATAAGTATATTCTACAATATTTTGTATAAATTTATAATCTCATCCATGATTATTTTTGATATTTAGTACTTTTCTCTGGCACAAGTTCTCCACTGTGTTTTATTTAAATTTTCCTGTGACTCCTCAAGTCTGTTTCCTCATTGTATAGCCACCATTTTTGCTAATTAACCATCATTAAGGTAAATCTTTACAACTTCGGCTCAGATATTTTGGTCCATGGCTTTCAAAGGGTGTATGTGGGTGACAATGCCTCCTCACACAGCACTGCCAACCCAGTTTAATTAGAATTTTTAAATTAATCCACAACTGACTTTTTCCCTGTAGGAGCTCAAGGTAGGCACTCCCTTAGTTTTCCTCGCCCCTCCCCAGTTTCAGTTGTTTTTCCCAAGCTTTTAATCTTTTATTGTGTCTTTCTTTGTTCCAGTGCTTGCCTTAGGTTCCTGGCAGAGACAGCCGATGTTTGGCTCTCTTATCCTTCTAAGAGAACTCTCATAACCCCCATCTCATTTTTAGCTGACGCTTTGATCGTCTCATCAATCTGTTTTATTCTCCTTTTAATCCCTCTTATTATGAGTTCTCTCATGATTACCTGTGTTCATTAAAAGCTGAGTGAAGTTTATAGTATGAATGGGACTAGTGTTCACATGCAGTTTCACCATGTAAGGTTGTGCAGTTTGTGCACTGCACAAAGGTGGCCACTTGAGAGAACAAGTGGGAGCTTAAGTCTAGCCTCTGGTCCACTCATCAAGTCATGCACCAGTAGATTTCTGTGAAGTTAGAGGGGTATCTTTTTCTAATCTGTGCAGTAGATTAAATGGAGACTTCAGAACACTGACAGGAAAATATCTTATTCCCTGTTGTGCTCATATTTACCTCACCACTAAAAGGAAAGAAGGTGGGGGGTATTTATCCCTCTTTCTCTGCCACAAGTGGCATCTTCTTAGTGGTTCCAGCTCTTGCTGGGCAGGTGTTCCTAGTTTCTTCTCCATGACCCTGGCCCTGAGCTTTGGATCCCTCTAGTCCAGGGTTTCTCACCCTTAGCACTTTGGACATTGGGAACTGTCCTGTGCATTGCAGGATATTTAGCAGCATCCCTGGCCTCTGCCTAGCAGATGCCAGGATCGTGTCTCTCTCCCTTCCTTAGTATGACAGCCAAAAATGTCCCCAGAAGTTGACAGTGTCTCCTGAGGATACAAAATCATTCCTTACTGAGAACCACTTCTCTAGGCTAACAGCTTGTCATCATTAATTATTGAATCTCGTAATAATCAATACCCATTCCTACTTCAGTTGACGTACATATTTTCAAATTTAAGTTATACGAAGAGATTTTTTTTCAATCTTACATTTAGAATGCTTAGTTATATTTGAAGTAAACGTTCAGTTATTTGTAGTAGATCTGAATAGCATGCCTTGTTTTTATTACTGATTTTTTGGTGCTGATTAAAAATGACAATAATCTTCACAGTTATATAATCATTTATTATACAAAAGTGCCATGATGTAAGAATTTAGTTGTGTGGTCTTCCAAGAGACAAAACTGAAGTGGAAGTCAAATAGTAGATTTTGGTGTATTCCCTAATGATGACCAAATTTATACGCACCATTTCTCCAAAAAGTACTACTAGCAAGTAGTGAAACGATTTGATAGAGCACGTAAATGATATGAAGTCAAATAGCAACTAAGAGAACTTGATTATGTATGTTTAAAGATGATCTGAGGGAAGAAAATAATGTTTTCCTCTGACAGATCCCCAGGATGGCAGCCACAAAAGTCGTTTGAAAAGCCGTACCGTGAGACTTGCCCTTTGTAACAGTCTCTCACTTAACTAGTATTTTAAGTTATTGGAACAAGACTGCAATTTCACATCCTTTCTAGCCCTGTGTCTCCCTATAGCGCTGGCCCTTAGCATCATGCTCAAGCATGGCAGGAAGCAGTAGTGAAGTGGCTGAGGGAGTCTCTGAAACTTCCTAGCTATGCAATCTTGGGCAAGTCACTTAACCTCACTGTGTCTCTACTTCCTCATCTACCAAATAAGAAGAACCCTATAGCGCTGGCCCTTAGCATCATGCTCAAGCATGGCAGGAAGCAGTAGTGAAGTGGCTGAGGGAGTCTCTGAAACTTCCTAGCTATGCAGTCTTGGGCAAGTCACTTAACCTCACTGTGTCTCTACTTCCTCATCTACCAAATAAGAAGAACATAGTGTTGTTGTGCAAATTAGGTTATTTAATCCTTGTATAAATATTGAGCACAGTTGTCAGCACCAAGATAACATTTAACAAAAGCAAGCTGTTATTCATGGTAGACAATGAATAAATATTGAGTGAAAAAAATAATGATGTCAGTGGTTATTACTTAAATATGCTTCATCTTAATTAGGATTTGTATGTTATAGATAAGTTTAACTTTTGTTTTCTTTAAGACATTTTGTTAAGAAATGTACTATGTGTTTCAGATGCTGTTTTCGCAGGTGCCATGCCTACCATGGCAAGCGTCAAGCTGTCTGCACTTCATCCCATTGTGAATCACCCACATTACGAGGATGCAGACTTGAGGTTGGCAGCCGGTCAAATGTTTGAGCCAGACCCAATTGCTACTTACTGCTGATTCTAAGAAATAAGGAAAATTTTGTGCACAGAGACACACACACACACACACACACACACACACACACACACGCACACACTCTCTCATCCTCATATTCATGTTGGAAGTTAAAACATTTTATAATAATTATCCAGAAGTGGCAATATGTAGCCTATGAAGCAGGCTTGATAAAGCTTTGAAAACTGAAAAAAGTAAGAGCCAGTGTTTTCAAAGTGAAAAATGTGTTACATATTTATAATATATGTGCGCACGTGCGTGCACGTTCCAGTAAAACTCTTAAGTAGTAGTAGGAAGAGTTAGGATGGATTTGACTCAAAGCCATATTTTGCCAAACCCCTTCTCTAGACTCTACAAGCCTCTCTTCCTGACTTAAGAAACCGTTCTAGATCTTACTGGTGGGCAATGACTAGCCTTTTCTAACAGGTAGAAAAAGTGCAAAAAATTTGCTGTTACATGATTTTATGAAAATTTAGGGTATTTTGGTAGCTGATTATGAGAACTCTACTTTCTGTTAAGGTCTAAAACTTGTTTTCCTTAACTGGTTGGTTTCTGAAAATTATTTTGATCATTCTAGTAATTGCCAGGGTAATCTTTTCTTTTAATGGATCTTTGGCCTATTGTTAATGGTAAATTCTTAAATTATTATTTTTAATTATTTAAATTATTTAAAGTCTGATTGTGGCGATTGGGCATCCCATATGCTTGAAATCCTAAGTAACATCTAATGCATAAATCGTAATTTGTTCAGGATTTCATAAGAACTCCCTCTTGGGGCCAAATAATCTGTTGTACCATACTTTAGTGAACATCCCTGTTTCTTAGATTCTGTTAAGGTGCTTTTCCTACCAGTTCTCATACTCTATATGCCCAGTGCCCAAATGTTCTATTTGATACATTCAGCTTCAATTCAGAGCTTTTATAGATGAAATTATCTACTGAAATGTATGTTTCCACTGCATTCAGTCTCTATCAGAATGTATTCCATGAGAAGATTAATTATGTTGAGTTATGTGAAGCAAATTTTATGTTATGAGCTATTATCTTGCCACCCAGGGCAACTCTAGACTAGTTTATGCACTAACAAGCAGTATGTACAAAATTCAAACTGCTGTAAGTTTTAACACATTCAAAATATAAGTAGCGGGCCGGCCCGTGGCTCACTCGGGAGAGTG